CGGGATCACTGTGAACAAAAAAGAATATTCAAAATTGTTGTCTTTTTTCATAAATGAGCAGAAAAAATGTCTGATACTGTAAGCTGTGGCTAATGCTGGCGCGTAGACATCAGTTAATGAATCTTGGTAATTAATCCAGCCTAGCAGCACTGTCAGGGACTTCACTGCAGATTGAAGAAGTATTGTAAGGACATTCAGAGTTGTGGAATGAGGAACATTTGGACTTTTGGAATAGACTACAGGGTTTAGTTTTAGGAATCCACAAGAAAGTAAACAATTTTTCATTGTTATTGTGCAAAATAGCACTACTTAATTTTTTCCCTTTTCAGAAGACTCAGTGCTGTGCTATCACGTTTTGGGGGTCCTCCTCTCTCCAGTTAGATAAGTGTATGTGTATAAACTAAAGTATGCAATTACCTTAACATTTACACTGTGTAACAAAACAATTGACTTCTTTTATTTCTGTTTTTTACTATTTCTGTTTTTTGTTTGTTTGTTGTGAAGAGTATATAGGCAAATTGGACTAAGCGTCTTAATTTGTAGTAATTACCCTAAATGCATAAGTAAGCACTTGTGTTAGCGAGTCAACAATGATCTTAAATGAGGCTTAAAGATCCCATATTACACAAACTGACTTTTGTGAGCTTTAAGTCATGTTATAATGCTGTTACAACCTTAAAAACATACCTGGAGTAATGCTTTATTATTAGTCTCTCTACATCTCCAAAACTCAAAATGCTCAGTTCCACCTTGTGATGTCATGAAGCAGTAGTTATCAAGTTAACAGTACAGTTTAAACTTTTGTTCAGGAGAAACTTGCCATCCCAGGGCTGACATTACCCAAATGATTCTAGTGAAGGTGTAAGAAGATTAAAAACCACAATGGAGCACTTCCTGTATTACCACATGGCATCACAAGGTGGAATATAGTGTTTCAGTCTGATAGTTTTCTGTTTGTGATAAGAACTTGTGTGTTAAACGTGTGAATGAAACAAAACACAACTCCAGATGTGTTTATGATAAAGAAACAACATTATAACATAGATCAAAAAATTGTAATATGGACCCTTTAATGATGTGACATTCCTATACAAACTACATTTGAGAAGTAAAGTTGCAAGTTCTTTCAGACACTAGTTGGTATATAGGTGTATGGGAGTTGCCTCAGTCCATCCAGGGTCAGCACTTGCCCTCCCCTCATGAAATATCTACGTGGGGCTTGTTCCATATTTTAATGGGGTGTGGGAGTGGGACATCCAGGAGTGATGGTAGAGGGGCCATCTCTGGAGACTCTCCCGGAGAATGGTGGTCTGTGCATCTCACTGGCTTTTTTTCCCCTTTTTTTGGCCGGTGAAATAAAAGAGGAAAGAGATTATTCTCCTTTGGAATGTGGATTCTGGGGCACACGGGCCCAGGAGTCAGTCAATCTGGCCAGTTTGTGAGGCGGGGTGGGGGTCCGGTGAGGGCTGATTAGACGGATGCTCTCCCATCATCCTTCTCGACAGGCTGGCGAAAATTGGCTAGCCCCTTGCAGGGTAGAGTTCACGGGGGGAAGCCTGGCGGGGGGAGGCGGCATGCAGTGGATACCTGTCACAGCCTTTGGTCTGTTTCAGGATCGCAGCAGCAAATTAATAAAATATCCTTCCTGCTTCCCTTTACCTGGCGTGGCAGCTCTACCTCTCGCTGCCTCCTCTCCCCAGCCTGCTCCGGCCTTTGACCCCGTCCACTACTGAGAGAGACGCAGGGGCTCGGGCAGCGGTGAGTGCGGGCCAAGAGTGTCAGCCAGAAAATAGGGAGAAAGTCTCAAAGTCCACAAGAGGCGGCGAGAAGAGAGAGGCTCCCCCGCTCGCTCGCTCGCTGCGGGTAAGACAGCTGCACTTCACACGGACTGACAAACGAGCGGCCCGTGTCAGGCAGACATTTTCAAGTGGTGATGCATGGGAAACAAACAGCAAACTCAACAACAAGTCCAAGTCCAGGACTTTAGCTGCACACAAGGTGCGGTTGAACTCGCAACTTTTGGAGTTTGGACAAGACATCATGTCAGGTTAAGTTAAACAAACACTGAAGTAGGTTAGGTACTACTACAACTTTAACTGCTACTAACACGATTAAAATTAGTGCAACATCTAATTAAAACTGCAAGCAAGAACTGTAACTTTTTCAACCAAAGTAACAAGGGCTGGTCGACCGTGACAAATATGCGACAAACCGTTCGGATCAAGATATAAGCCATGATAGCGGCTGCAGTACTTGTTTCTAGTTGTTGCAAATTGCCAACACACCCAAATTTCTATTTATTTATTTTGCTACAGTCAAATGAATAATCTCAACTTAATTTACCATCTACTTAAAGGCAAAAACACACACAACACTTTTTTTTTTAAATATACATCTATATAAATTCTGGCTTTATACTCCATTTTTTTCCTAGTTGGAGCTTACAGTCCTACTACAAAGACTTCATGACAATCCCAACACACATACACGACGAAAGACAAAACAAAAACTAGTTGGTTTGGTTCAATGAAACAAGTTGTGCATTGTAAACCAGGTATTGTATGAGAACTAATACAGAAAAAAAGAGAACTAAAATACAGGCACCCAACACTTTAAGACATAGAATACTTTCAATCATTAAATTTTGTGACACAAAGTGTGCAATAAAACATACACAAAGTTAATCTGAATCTGCCAAATTTGACGAGTGAGAATCATTCTTGTCACAACAACCGAAAAGGTGGTGAGTAAAAAATAAAAACAGGATAAATTCATGCAGTACACTTCCTATGTTTTTCTTACTCTTTTGGGACTCCTTCGAAAAGTGGCACGCGCTGATCCTCCCTATCCCCTCACCATCTACCCCCCTTCTGCGATCCACCTCCGACTGCCATAGGTCTTTCAAGTTGCACTCTTCACACAGCGCCATGTAAAACAATATAATCATGCATGAAACGCTACCTCCAGGGGCACGCGGAGATCACTTCATTCCCCAAAATGTCAAAGCTACAGAAAAAGTCAGCAAACATCCTCGGGTTATTTGAGATTGTTTATCTGCTAGTGTGCATAGAACAGGGCTGGTGAGAGACGCGAGATGAAAATGTGATCAACGGAAGGCCTTGGTGTGAATGAAAATCGGCCATGTTGATGTGTTAAATAACCTTCTAGTTGGTTGGATGTGTTTTATTCATGGCGGTGGAGCTCAGATGACCAGCAGATAATGATTGCGCTCACCTTCCTCCTGGCACACGCACGCCTCGCTGTTTACGCCGGGAATCTCAATATGAAAATGGCGGACAATCGATAGCCCTGAATACTGCGGCTCTAACCTCTGGCTAGCTGCTAATATGGAGCTCGGCTTATCCAAATGAATGAGAGGGTGGTATGTGTACGGTTCAAAAGTAGAATTTACTTCATTTCAGTGTTTAGAATGAGGTAGGTAATGTTTGAACTAAAATCACCATTAGCAGATGTTATTAACTTCACTATTCACTTCAATTACTATAAACAAGTTGTTTTATTACACGATGTAACGCACAGTATTACAAATAATAATAAACATAAGAAGCAGCTATACGCTTTACTATCTTTGGGCCTATTGCTACACATTTAAGATACTCAAGTGCATTTTAACTGCAAAGAATAAACACAAAGTGCAGTAGTCTATTTGTAGTGGGCAGTACGCCTAGTAGTTTTAGTAGTAGCCAATCACAGTAATAGCATTACTGGAAGTTGTACTCGCAATACCAATTGCAGTAGAAGCCTATTACAGAATTATTGCTTACCGTTTCTGATATTTGTAAATTACCCAATGATGGGAAGAATGCTTTGAAAATGTATTTAGTTACAGAATACTGAACACCAGCATGAAAATGTATTTTGTGATGTATTACAAAGTTACATGGACCATCAGAGTACTGTATTCTGAATACTATTATATCGACTTGCATTTTAATTATAGTGTAAAGACATAACATAGGATTAAAAGCAGCTTTACGACAGTTTGTTATGCATTTCCTATCACAAATCGGAGAAAGAAAATAACATATACACTGACCATGTTTTCTGTTTTTCTGATTCTGTGCCAGTTTGAAGCCAAGCTAAACAAGTGTCACCATATATTCCTTTGATTTAGAAAAGTAACTGCAAACTACCAAATGAAAAAGTAACTGTACCAGAATGTATGAGTACAAATTCTCGGCACATTTATTCAGTTACTTCCCAACAGTGAAATTACCACTAGGCCTAAATAATGCAGTTCCCCTATGCAGTAAGTCAGAACAAAGTGAGAAATCGTAGGACTCAACCAACAGTATAGCCAATCTTCTGCATGGACTGAGTAATTTGATTCAACCGCGCTCATACTGTAGTATTATTTAGATTTTCTTTCAAAGGAACGGGAGCTGTGGATATGAGAAGAGTGCCATGTGTACGAGCAGAATCCCCCAAACAAAACAGAGCTGCTCGAAAACACCACCACTGTGAAATAATATAATAAGGTCTGTTTCATTTTTTCATGCTCTCCAAGGACCAAGCAGAGAGATTGCTAGAAAATGGATTATCTCTCTAACATTGCAAGTTCATAAGTCCAACTACTAACTTTGTTGAAGGGCAGATATGGCCTCCCCGGTGGACCCAGCTCATATTTAGCCACGAGCCTCCTGTGTGATTAGAAAGGGAGATGCAGACGTATTGACTTGGCCTGCATTTTTGCCTTGGCGATGTGCGCAATTACCTCTTCAAAAACCAGCATTCGGCTAATCCCGCTAATTCCAGATATTTTAGCGCTCGGCTGGTCTAATAAGCAAATCAAATCATATCTCGCACATCACAAATGAGTTTTGGAAATAATTCCTTCTGAGTCAACCCCTGCCGTACCCCCGCTCCCATTTCCCAATTGAGATGGAGAGGGCTAGTTTGTTAAGCTGTCATGTGCGATTAGCGATGTAACACTTTTAGCTAGCGGCTATTTGTATGTATTTATTTATTTAGTGGCTCACCTGTAGCTCTGTCTGAAAGAAGAACTTTTGGGGGCATTGCGAGCAGTCGTAGATCTTGTCCTCTTGGCCATGTGCGGAGAAAATATGCTGCTGCAGCTTGTTGGCTTGGACGAACACTGTAAATAAACAAAAGAATAACAGTCAACATTAATTTTTCTAACAACTGTTTATTCTAGGTGCTTTCACTTAGCATCGCGGCTAAATTAGCTATGACTGCATTAAGGGAACAAAGGCAACATCATCGTAATTGCATCTGCCTGGGTAGGAATTAAAAAATGTCAAATGACAAGGAAAATTACTTAATTATAAACAAATGAATGTGCTATTGAGAACAGATAAACAACTGGAAAAAAAAACAAAACATTGTTATAAGAAATGTAATTGAAAAAAAAAAGGGGCAAATTGAACTGGAGTGGTCACGCTAATGGCACTCCAGCTAGCATACATAATGTTTGGGGAATAATGATGCGCTTTATTTAGCACTACTTTGGGGACAACAAGCGGGAAAATAAACAAAAAAAAAAAAAAGCAAAAAACTGGCATGGCTTCAAGTGCAAAACATGGCCTCCATTAGTCTACATTGCTAATTATATTGACAATATAAATATTCATGGCGCCGTGCTACTTATTCACACAAGCTCCAGATTACATATTTGGTTTGAAAACACACAACTGGTTGCCACTTAAAAACATATACCATCATACATTTGTGCTTTAATTAAGTAAGGCACGGTCAACACTAAGGAGAAGCTAGGGGACGTGCAATTGTGTGTCTGTTCTCTGAGGAGCACTTCAAACACGCCAGTTGTTATCCTGGACCCTTGCGCTTTATGAGGACTTGCCTGTCTAGTCTCAAAAGGTCTGTGGAAAAAAAAAAAAAGTTAGCATGTAAGGGGCCTTCATTTGAATTTCTTACGGCTCAAAATAACTTTTCTTCTAATGCAAGCGCCGTGGGGCCGAGGGGAGAGAGAGAGATAGAGAGGGAGAAGGAGAGGGAGAGGAGGCACGATGGCGGAAAGGTGAGGAGGGAAGGAGGCTTCGGGGGTCGCTGGGGTTCGGAAACATTAGCGTGTCCCATTTTGGGCTCACCTGGGACAGCCGTTATTAATTATTGAGCGGTGCACACGGGAGACGCAGCGGGCTTCAGTGAATGTCACACGCCTGACCTGGGAAATAAAAGACTACTAATGCCTCGGTGACAGCTGCCTCACAACATCAGAAGGGACTAACCAACTTTGACTGAAATATAGGACTATACCTGAATACTGGGGAGGGGCAGGTAACTGATGAGTGAAAAGTAATACTAGTAATACTACCAGGTACACCAACTCTTTTGTATGTAAAATAAAGAGACATCTGTAACAAAGTTTCTAGCTTCATAACCAAACAGAATTAGGACTAACAACTAGGGATGTAACAATAACCAAAATATCGTAATATCGTCAAAAGTCTCACAATAATATCGTGGGCTGTCACAATTTATTGAAATACAAGTTCCTTTGCTTAAATGCATGGTTTTACAGTAGCAACAGCTTATGAACATCGGAAACTACATATCCCATGATTCATTTCAGTGCAAACAACATGAAGAAATATGTTTTTACTTGAATTCTTTTGATTATCATGGAAATAATTCATACCAAAATCTTGTCAAGGTATTTTAAAAGCAGAAACATGTCCTATCTATGATTATATTAGCCTCTCCAAAATATTGCAATAAATATCGTACCGTGAGATGTATATATATTGTTACATCTCTACTAACAACATGAAGTTTAGTAGGATAGTGGTAGTAGTAGTGGTGGTAATAGTAGTAATAGTAGCAGCAGTGATAGGAGGCTAATACAGGTAATAGTTGTAGTTAAGGCTGGATAGCATTAAGAAGTTGCCGATACAATACATACCTCGATACCTAGACCACGATCTGATACATATCTCGATATAGTGCACGTTCGATTTGATACGATATATTTCAAAACGATTCGATACGGTTCAATAAAATATAATGGCTAAATTATGGTTGTGATACTAAAAGTCTTTGTTAAACCATTTCTTGTGCAAAGTGAATATGCAAAACGCCCATTTTAATCCTCAAAACTGTGAAAATGTCAAATGTGCTGCATAAATGAGTTTCCTTCAACTGAACAAGCAACAAAACTGTAGCGCTGTAACAATATAATTTAGTAAAATACACCATAAAATACTCTTGGCGATAAACCGATACAGCAGCCCACGACATCGATACTGTATCATCATATAACAATATTTCAATTTTTTGCACAACCCTAGTTGTAGTAATGACACAAAGAGCCTAGTGGTACAAGTACTAGAGTAGTTTTAGTAATCAGGTAGTCACAGTGGATATTTATTACTATTGATTATACTTTAGTAGCCTGGAGGTGGTGGTAACAGTAGGGATATGAGGAAGTAGGGATAATAGTAATAGTAGCCTACTGAAGTACTATACATTGTAGCCCATATAACCTATTTAGTCACCTGGATTTACTACAAAAATATTTCACTTAACTTTTATTGCAAGATAGGTTCAACTTTGTCAACTAAAGAGAAAGTCTGTGTCACTGGATCTAAGCTGGCATGGACTTACAGAATATATTGTAACAATTAAAACAAGGTTAAAACAGTCATCAGGAATCCATCCTTTTAAAACTATCCCAAATATCCTCCCAAATCATCCCAGACTGACCAATCATAACCATTGCGCATATTTGCTCTTTCAGTGTTAAACAACTGGCTCCAGCTCGCTAATGTCTGTGTGACATCTGCCTCTGGAACCCGGCCGCATGCTAACAGGTCGCTAACAAACCTCTGCTAATGAACAAACAACTCTACAGTCCATTTTGGTAACAAACGACCAACAATAACTGCGCGCGAATGGCCCGTTTTACCGCAATGCTAACCGTTATGCTCAAGGTTACAGCGAAGCAATCATGTACATTTACGTCTGTGTTCTGTCTTTAAAAACAACAACAACAATTTACAGTTTTTTTCCCCTTCAATAGGCATGTTTGGTGAAAGTATACAGTAACAGTAAGCAGGTCACGGCAGCCCGCAGGAAGCCTTCATTATGTCTTTGGCGAGAGGAGGGAAAAGTCAATACAGCAAAAATAAAAATGGATCCGAGACTTGGGGGGCCTTCAAATGCAGTACAATAGGGCTAAACACAAGTGAGATGTCAAGCTAGCCTCATCTGCCTGTTTACACCACAACCACTGCCAGTAAGGGACATGACTAATCATCTATGCACTGAATAGATAGAGCGATTACTGTATTCCTATATTGGGAGATGATGAGTTATTTAAAGGGCCGGTACACTGTTGAAGTGGATGCAAAGTAGCTATACAATGACTTGGCTGTATTTTGATTTACTTTAAAGTGCAATATTATGCTATTTTCTTATCTATGTATGTTATAATGCTGTTTATTACACACAAACTCTGCATATTTAGGCTAAGTTCTTCTCTGTTCCACCTTGTGTTGTCATATAGTAATATAAGAAGTGCTACACAGTGTTTCTTAAACTCCATACACTTTCAATGGAATCATTTGGATGATCTCAGCTTTGGAAATGCCCATCTCAATTGAACTAAAGGTGAAAGCTGTTAACTTGCGAACTGCCATAATGTGACATCACTAGGGTGGAACAGAGCATTTTGAGCTTTGGAGATGTAGATAATACATAAAGGATTACTCAAACATGTGCGAATGAAACAGAACACAAGTCTGTATATGTTTGTGATGAAGAAACACCATTCTAACATGGCTTAAAGCTAAAGGATCTTTAATGAAGAAATAATCATTTGGCTGTTAAAGTGGAAGTTTTAGCCTACTCCAAAAAGTAGGTTACCAAATTTGTACTAAAAATACTGGCACCAAAGCTTTTTTTTTTTTAACTTATCACTACCCATGTTATTACTACCACAAGTTTTAGTGTCCTCGGGCAGGACACTCTCTTCCCTAGCCTGTATGAATGTCAGTGAGTGTGAGTGGCTGAACAGAGACTACATCTGAAACCCGACATCTGGGCAGAAGTTAAACAGTAACTGAACTTATCTGTGGCAGAGTGGTGCCAACTCACAGGCCACATCTATGGAAAAATGAGCCTGTTCACAGTAAGACTGCATGTTTTTCATGATGTTTTTGAGCAATGAAGAGATGGTTTCTTTGATGGCCATCTGGACACCTAGAAGCCATTTTCAATTGTTGGTCCTGGCTTGAAGCACTGGGAATTTCTTCTACTCTGAGTACCTAAGTCCAACCCAAAAAGGAGTTTTAGAGTGAAACTACCCTGCCTTGGCCCTTGTCCTACTGTTCACAGCTAACACAACAAATCATGCAAAATATGTTTAATGCCATACTGAGGAATATTCCAGGCAAAGCATCATGGACACTTCTCACACTGAGCTCAGACAATCTGCTATTTCCCCCCTGTATTGTGTGTTCAATTAGCATACAACATGTAATAAAGAAACAGTGCACTGGCATTTGGCGAAAAATCTGCCTTGGCGTCAGCCATTAAACCACAAGAACAGAGGCATGTCTTGCATCCTGGAGGGTTTGAATTAGACAAACAGGCTTAAGCTACAATCCAAAAAAGCCCATCCAAAACTGGATCAGTGGCCGGTTATTGTGAGAGAAAGGGATGTGTGCGTGTGTGTGTGTGCATGAGAAGTTAGAGGAGTTTGTTGGCTAGCTTGGGTTGGTTGTCGGGGGCGTCAGAGCTGTGGGAGCTGGGGGGGCTGGGGGGCCAAGGTCTCCTCGCTGTGGGGGATATTAAGGCCTCTGATTAGCTCTCCGGGGCCGGCCGTGGCAGACATCTCCTTTACTACAGGCCCCAGCTCATCTTTATTTTGGCAGGGTGGTGCTCTCTGCAGGCTGCACACTGCACCAATACTAAGCTGTTTGTGCACGGAGGAGAAAAAAAAGCCTTTCTCTGCCTCATTCCTTTTTATTTATTCATTTGTTAAGTGAATTTGTGCCGAGGACTAGGCCAGAAGCTAAAAAATTTACTTGGAAGTCCAGCAGCAGGCAGCATGTAAAGGGCCACTTTATTAGGGACAACTTTATAATAAAGGGAGAAGCGAATAAAATACATATA